AACCTCAAAGTGATTTTGATGCAAACTCTCGATCGGTCTGAAATGATGACTTAGTTTAAAATCCTAAAAACTTGACAACATTTAGATCGATACTAAAGTCTTGATGTTATCCTTGATTGCTGAATTCAATCATACAATGGGAACCTTTAGCACCTCCCCCACCACCCTTCTCCGGAACCTGCACAGTCCTGCACAGTTGCAGTATTCAATGGAGAATCCAAATTTTAGTCACTTCGTACAAAGAAACAGGGTAATCATGAGGTCAACTACGTGCTGTCAGTAACGTTAGGTAATGGATGAATTGTGGACAAAGTCAAGTGCTATCGATAAATAATTTTGTTAAAGGGTCCATTTTTATGAAAACCTTGTATTCTTTGTAAGAAAAACAAGGCAATGAATAAAATATTGATGGGTTCAAGAACTTTCAAACGAATTTAAACATGCTAAAGGGATACAATTCAGTTCGATTCGGTCTTATAAATTTTATTAATGCATTTCCACATAAGATATGCATAGTATGATGTTGTCATTCCTTGGGAGCGGCCATGCCTAGTACCTCACCAAGGATTTCGGGACTTTCTGCAATCAGGGGCATTTGCAGAGATGCTCCACCGTCTATGACCAGCTGATGACCAACGATATAATTTGATCTTTTTCTGGAAATTCTTAGTTACTATTAACAAACTCAATCATTGTAAGAGCCAATGAAAATTTGTGCAAATTATTCTATCAATGCTTTTTTAGCAAATGAATAATTTTTTACCTATCTGCCAGGAACAAGATAGCTTCCGCCACGTCTTCAGATTTACCAATACATTGGTAAGGAATGAGTCTGTGTTTTGAAGCCAAAGCTTCTTTCCCCTAAATCAAATTGCGAGTACGCTTAGCATTTTATTTTTGACTCCTACACAATAACATAACACTTACTTTTTTGACCATTTCATCAGTGAAGCCATGACCTTTCCAAATATTGGTTGAGATGCAGCCCGGGCTGAAAAGCATGGTTTCACTGAATATTAAAAGGACTAGAAGGTAGAAGCCTTCGACTTTCTAATCTTTTTTGTCGCTCTAAGCAATAATGAAGGACAATGATTACCTTACACTATTAACACGGACCCCTTTCGTGATGTAATAAATAGCAAGATTTCTGGTAAGCTGATCCTGAGCTGCCTTCGCTGTGCTATAAAACGCTCCAATCAAAGCCTGGAAAATTTATGAAGATAAAATGGCAAGAAAACGAAATTCGTTCAGCTCACACATCCATTAGGCTTTCCGGCAATACTGCTCACATTCACTACTTCTCCTTTTGTTTTAACGAGATGAGGAAAAGCAAGTTGGCAGAGACGTAGTATACTAAAAAGCTGCCTTTGTGCACTAAAATTTACTTTCTTGGGGAAGTTCCGAACCTTCTTGTGTTCAGTTCCCATGCGTATTCGAATTTGCTTAGATCACCGTCAAGCTCATTACCCTCCAAAGTGCTATCGGGAGATGAACCACCGGCATTATTGACCTGTTTTCATATTGGCATCAAATTTATTTGTACAAGCTTAGAGAAAATTACGAGTAGTGCCCTCACTCTTACCAGTACATCCAAACGCCCAAACTTTTTCAGTGTTTCATCGATAGTTTCCTTCATTACCTCTTCTTCACGTAAGTCTCCTTTTACAAGGACAACTTTCGCTTCGTCGTTGCCGTTTTCAGCTAAGACAAGGCGTTTTGATTCCTAAACATAAAAGTTTTCTGTACGCAGTATATCAACTTTGTTTTCCTCTCAGCTACCAGAACCAGCTTTCTTTCAACAGGATAATTTTTACTTATATGACTAGTATGCACTGTGTAAATGTTCATTTCTACGTATTTTTATCCCTAATTCAAAACAATGTTTGATAATAATATCAAATTAATTAGCACTGAGGTTTAATCGCACGGAAATCCGGAGATGATTGTCTGGCAAGAATGACTCTTTTAAAAATTTTGCAATTTTTTAAACAAATGAGCAAGAACACCATAAAATATGCAAAAAATGTGTTAACGTGCATATAATTGTGCATTTATACGAACAATACCTATTTCTCTTATCACTGAATGGAGTAACGCTTAGCTCTAATGAATGTTTTCTAGAAATTCCTTTCAATATTTTCAACATCTTTTCTTGCGCCAAGACATTCTTTACAGTTCTCGCT